CACAAGTCCTGATCCTACTCCAACTTTTAGCCATTTTCCACACAGTTGGTCAAGCTCAACTTATTGGAAGCATCTCTATTGTTGAAATCTAAGATATACACTTGCTGGGGCTGTCCTCTTCTCTAACTGTCATTGCTCAGTGTCTGTGCGGATTCTTTCTCTTTTATGTATCTATAGAAATTGGGCTGTATTCACTGCCTTCTTCTCGATCACCCATCTTCCTGACAATCTCAGCTTTAAGTACTGTGAAATGCTGTCAACCCTTAAATCCCTTTCTCCAGGCCAGACATTTCCTCCAGGTTCAAAATTCAGACATCTAATTACCACCATAAACGTGAAGTCTTCCTGAATGCCTCAAATAAATATGTTCACAATGGAAACAAGTTCTTAACTCCTGTATTCCTACTTCCTCCCAACAACCCTACAGACTTCTATTTTCATTTCCCCCTGATTTCTGTAAATAGTATTACTATCTTTCCAATTATTACAATTGAAAATCTGGACAATATTCTTGATTTGTCACTCTCCCCACCTCCAGCCCTCAGCTGAGCTTCTTTGTTCCTCAAACGTAGGTATCCAATCCATCCATTTCGTCTCTTCTGCTCCTACATTAATCTGAAATATTATCATCTCTTACCTAAGTGATTGGTAACGCTGGCCACCTGCACCTCCTTATGATTTTCTCGTTATCAGTTATCAGTCAAAGAAACCTTGAAAGTATGTGGGATGTCTTCCAGTAACTTTTCAATGAAATCCAAGTTCCCTACCAGTTCAAAAAGCCTGGCCTGGCCTGCCTTCTGCTGCCCTCTCCCCTTGATCTTGTTCTGCTTCTCCCTCTGCTGCAGGTTCCAGCCACGTGCCTTGCTTTCACTTCCTCTGAAACATCTGGGCAGAGCCCTGACACAGGTGTATCCTCAGCCTACTCAAATCCTGAGGGCTTCCTGCACATGTTTTAGGTTCCAAAATTCAGATATTGAAAATGTCCTGTCCGAGTCCTCCCTTGTCACTAATACTTCATCACTAAGTCACTTTGTTTCAACCATGGTACTCATTACAAGTTATAAACATGCACTTCTCTACTTCCCCATGAGAGTGTAAAGTCCCCAGGTGCAGGGACCTTGTCTTTCCCATTCATTAACTGATCTCTCAACGCTTACACGGAGACTAAAATACAGCAGGTGCCCAGTAATTACTGACAGTAATTTTGCTGGTTGTTGATAGTTTCCTAGTTCCTTATTACCGCTTGCTTCGGTTATTTGAGTCGCTGTGTTAAACTGGGTATGGCAGTGACAAGGACTGGTGAAAAGCCACTCGAAGGAGGAAACATTTATTTTAGCTCGTTGTTTCAGACATGTCAGTCAAAAGTCAGTGGGGTCCGTGGCTTTGGCAGAAACCAGCAGCACATCATGGGAGGTGAGGCATGAAGAGCAGAGCTGCTCAGCCCAATGGCAACCAGGAAGCGCAGAGAAACGTGAAAGGTCAAGGGACAGGGTACACTTTCTGCATGATAATATACCCCCAGAGACCAATTTCCTTAGTATAGCACCGAATGCTCCTCTTTACTACCTTCTTAAAATGCCATCATATTCTGATTCCCTTGAGGAATTACTACATTGGTTAGCTTTGAGTCCTCAGGATCCAGTCATTTCCCGAAAGCTACCAGCTGGTAACCAAGCCCTCAACATATGAACCCTTGGGGACACCTCAGATTCAAACCATAACAGCAGGTTTCAGCTTTTATGTCCAATGGTCACTGTTTGATGATGATTTTAAAAGGCTGAGATGGTTAGCAATGTCCTATGCTGTTGAACAGGTACTGAGTTCACTTTTACCGGGGAAATGTGAGCGAACACCTATTCTCCCCAGATAATGTGCTAACCACAAACAAAAGAAATGATTCTACACAATTTCAGATTAGTGAACCAATAAATTGAGTTGAGGTTGCTTATAGGAGCATTGGTGAAAGGTCATCTCCAGAAGGGTGGGCGTCTCATAAAAAGCCACCCACCAGAGAAGACTGACCTACCCCACACAAGGAGCTGTGGGCGAGTGGTTGTTTACTGCCTTGTGAACCTTCTCTCCTCTGCACAAGGGAATGTCAATGGGCTCAGGCTTCAAAGATTCCCATGTGGGGGATCATAGCTGCTCTGATTTCAAGGAGGCAACGGCACAGGTTTTAACAAGTTCCCCGGGAGATTGTTATGATCAGGCAAATCTGGGAAACAGTAGTTTAGAAATAAATATAAATTTTCCAAGCATTATTATAGGCCCCAATATTTTCTCTTTCTCAGCCAATTGCAGATAAACACTGATATGTGCCACTGAGTCATGAAAGTTGCCAAAAGAAAGATGCCAAAGTTCTACCTGGCTTACTACAGAATAATCTAAGGGGTCTGGCACTCCATAATTGGCATCTAATCATACAGTTCCAAATAAGCTACAGTGATATTCAAAAATATAAATCAGAAGTATAACTATATCTTGAATTTTGTTATTTCATGACTTTGGGTGTTTTGCTGGCATGTATGTCTGTATCATATGCATGCCTGGTGCTCTGTAAAGTCAAAAGAGGATGTTGGATTTCCTGGGGCTAGGGTAACAAACTCTAGTTCACCATGTGGGTGTTGGGAATTGAACAGGGGTCCTCTCCATGAGCAACCAGTGCTCTTAACTGCTGAGCCATCTCTTCAGCCCCAGCAGGACACAGCTATCTTAATTACAGAGAATTTCACTGAGAAACAGGTAAATGGGATGAACTTGCTAACAGTTCTTATTTGTAATATGATAATGGCTCTGATATTTCAAAGGGCATTCTGCTTCTAGTTTGCTTACATCCCAGATTAGTAAACTAAGTATAACAAAATCTAAGGTTATCGCTTGGTCTCAACCATCCCTAGAAGCCTGAACAAATCTTTAGCCTCTTAACAGTAGCGGTCCTGAGAGTAGATCAAGTCTGTGAAAAAATCTTTCCTCCCTTCAGAAAGAGTGACTTGCCGAGGGTATAACCATTGTAGCCTGGTCACTTTCTTGGAATAGAGCCACTGATTTTTCCCAGTTTTCTTCCTTTGTAACTTGCCTTCACCAGCAGGTATAAATCAGTGCTAAATCAATATTAGCTGTTATTTCCCCAGATGTGGGAAGTGAAAAAAAAAAAAAAAAAAGTCTGATCCCGTGAGTAAACTCAGCCCTTCCTGGCTGCATTTAAAATAAGATGGTTGGTATTATACCATTTGGGGGAATAATCTTTTTTCCTTAATAAATCTTATGCTACTTCAACTTGTATTAACTAGATATGGTGGAATCAGCAGTCAGAATAGAGTGTCTATCAGCATTCTCATCTGCCCCTCCTCTTTCTCCCTACCCCAGCCATGGCATATGTTCCAACCCCCCCTTCCTTTCCGGCCCCTTCCTGATGGACAGGGTTGAGTGGGGGAGTCAGGGCAACCGAGTTTACATACCATCTCTAAGTGCTCACCTTGGGTGGAGCAGTGTCTTACATCAACTTTAGTTTTACCACAGCACCATTACCCAACAAAGTATTTGCACAGTATCACTTAATAACACAAAAATAAACAAGGTCCTTAAAGTTACCGAGGAAAGAGGTTTGAGCTACCTACCTTCCTTCCTCGAGGACCAACCTTCCTAGACTTGTTCTTAGAAAACTCTTAAAGAGGAACTTTGAGGAAAATCAGGGAGTACAGGTCCGCCGAGCCAGATCTAAGCTGCCTATCCCCTTGAAAGGATTAGTCCCTTTGTTAATTTTCAAAGCAATGTGTGACTTCTTTCAACGCTTCTCAGTCACAGCTTTTCATAGTATCGCTATGCATTTAATATTTCTATAAATATCACACACATGTATGTTCAGTACTTAGACATAGATGGAAACTGAAACTATTCAAATGTTCTAAGAAGTGACACAATTCTAAATAACTTCTCCCTCCAATCTCTGGATTTTCTAGGAACATCATAACATTGTTTAAGCACTTTCAAATCTATGATGTTTTTATCACAAGTAGTTGGATAGCAGTATGGAGTAGTTAGACCATGTTTACTCTCTTCCTTTGACAGATGGGGAAACAGGTCTATAACCTTGGCTGAGGTCATAGCACTTGAGAGAATTACTGAGACATAGAAACCAGGTCTCCCTGACCCAACCCAGTGGTTTTCCTTCTCTTAAACTATGTAGTAAGACTCAGGGGAACCATCTTTGTGGAGTACCTGGGCATGAGCCTTTCCCCCTTAGACTCAGATAACCTAGGAACTAATAACATGCAGATAAGAGGACACTTGGTGGCCAGAAGATTGATTACCTACATTCAAAGCAACCTGACAACGTACCTGGATAAAAGGCGGACCTAACTTGTTTTAGGCCTCCCAAGACCCTACTAGGAGAGCTGAGTGTGGGTAATCACTGTTTGGTTGGAGCTTCCAGCTCGCCCCTGCAAGGTCTAGAGAGCCCCATCCTATTTCTTTCTCTCTCCAAACCAGTGCTCATAGAGTCTATGACCAAAGGAAAGGTGCCAAAATGTCCAGTTCCGCATTCTTGGCGGCTACTTAGCTTCCTGCCCTGAAGTTGCCAGCAGCCCAAGTGCCCGCCTAAGCGCTCAGCTTTTGACCATGCTTGGGCACAAACTCAGCTTGTGTCAGACACGTCATCATCCCTGCCTACAACCTATAAAATTTTTCTGCCCTGGCCTGGGCTCACGACTTCCCTGGCCTCGATCTCTGGGACTGGAGAACTCGCCTGGGAGTTGCTTTGCTCAATAAGCCTGCTGTTACACTTTTTCAATTCGGCTTGATCTTATTATGGGAGGAGGGCAGAAAGACTATTAATCACATAGCTTGCTTCTGGCCTATCTTCTCCATATCCTCCCCTCACAGACGTCTTTCAGACATTGGTAATTACAGACCTCCGAGCCAAAGCCTGCAAAGGCAGAGCCATGCAGATGCCACTCTAAGATCTCTGCACACTTGGAAGCCTGAAGACACGGTGAGTGTCGTTGCCTTACACTGGAAGAAAGGTGCAGTTTTCATTTCCATGTCATTGGGTCACTGGTGTGTTCTATTACATGGTACAATGGTTTCCTCTTGGTCTGAGGAAGTGTACGTAAATACATTTGCCTCTACATTTAATCAGGAACTTCAAAACTCGGCTGAAGTTCATGTGTCCCTTAGGCTTTACGATTAAACTGAAATCTTGGAAGACTGATCTTAATTCATGAAAACAACTTGAAACAATGAAAGAACTGGTTCGCCAAAAGATGAATCAGTATCAAGAAATATAGTACCAGGGAGCCAGCGCAACAGATTAAAGCGCTTGCTGCTAAGCTTGACAACCTAATTTAACCCCCAGGATGGAGCCATATGATAGGAGAGAACCAACTCCCATAAGTTGTTCCCTGACCTCCACACATACACACAGCAAAAAAGATAAACATTTTTAAAAAAAAAGTAAGAAAGCAGAGCACAGAGCAGTAGTCATCACCTGTCGTGGTGGTCTATAGGAGTTAACAGCACCATGACTTCTGTTAAAGAACGTAACAAGTTTTTGCTAGAGTCCAATGGCCATGCACAACAACGTGTAAGGTTCAGTAGACTCTCCCACCATCTCTATCACCAGCCATATCAATTGTAATATATTAATCTAATTTGGTATCCCACAACTTTTGGAAGGCTTAAATGTTTAAAAACTTATGAAAGACTCCAGGAAAAGTCAAATGGATTAGGTCTCACCTTGGAGAAGCAGTTCAAAGAGGGCTTAATTCATGACCTCTGGGTGTATTTAGTACCATAGATGCTGGTGTTTGGGGGTAGTTCATTTTAGAATGAATGTATAGAAATGTTATAGGTTTCAGAGAGACAGGCTAATGGGAGGAAATAGCAAATGTTTAGCACTTGCACTGTATCAGGGACATGATGTACATTATCATACACACACACAGAAAACTACAAAAAATTGAGACTAGATAAGAGGGAAGTAAAGTCAATGCCAATGTCCTTTACCTTGTATTAGCAATAAGGACTGTTTACTTTCAAAGCCTGTATTACCACACCTAGTCACTACAATACTGCATCGGGCAAGCCTGTGGAATCTTCTTCCTTCATTAAATGCAAAAACAGTTTCTAGAGATGTGTACCTTAAATAGTGATCTAGGCCAGTCTAGAAACAGAAAAATGAGCTAAATTCCTATGAGGCTAACTGCCTTCGGCCTTGAAATTTTAGATTAAAACTCAAACCAGCACAGATGTAGTCCAAGGTTTTTATTGGGTACACACTTTACTTATTTTAATCAATAAAGATTTGAGCCGGTTGGTGGTGACACATACCTTTAATCCCATCACTTGGGAGGCAGAGGCAGGTGGATCTCTGTGAGTTTGAGGCCAGCCTGGTCTACAGAGCGAGTTCTGGGACAACTAGAGCTACACAAAGAAATCTTGTCTCAAAAAAAAAAAAAATTGAGACCTATAGCATGAGTAAGATTTAGATATTTATATCCCAACATTTTCTCCACCTACTTAAATATCCAAAATAAGGAATCAGTCCAATCAACTAGAGCATAACCAAACAATGGGCTTTCTATATTATGGTTAGATTTATGTGGTAGAAGTTTTAATGACTTATGGAAATGTTTATGATATATTTCTAAATAAATAAAAGCCCAGAAAAACAATACCACATTATTAAGTGTATTTTAAATTTGATTTAAATATTTATTTACATATGCATGTATGAAAACAACTGGGCAGAAGTAGACCAGAACATTAACAGTGGTTTTACTTATGAGTACTATAATATCTGGGGACTTTGTGCTACATTTTTGTAAACTGAACATGTCCTCACATATATTGCTAGAAAGAATGCTTTACACACTGCACAGGCATACACAGTGTTTCCTGCAAATGTTTCACAATTTATAAATAGGATAATAAGGTATTATGAATACAATTATATAGGAAAGTTTATTAAATGGCATAGAGCCCATAGTTGGCGGCAAACTCGAACTTTACCCACGTTGCATATAAAATTGGCTCTCCATGCACTTTCTTATTATGCTAAAATGATCATATATAACTGCCTGAGTCCCTTTAACTCTTGCCTAAGTCCCTTTATTCAGAATGCACACAGAAAACACAGCAGAACGTACAGTACTTTGTATGAAAATTAAAATAATCATACCTAGCTCAAGAAGTTTTTAAAAATCGAAGTAAAACAAGACTTCTAAAGCTCCTAGCACAGTGCCTGGAGCACAGTTAACATTCAGCAAGTTTCATCTGTTTGGAGAATTATGCTCTTACTGTTGAGGAATTCTACAGAAGAGAATGGTTGTTGATCCAAGAAACTCCTGTCAACCACTAGTACACATACTTGTTTTTAAATAGCCTTCAATTAATAAAGGTGGAGTCCAAAGGAATCTTTGACACATCATAATTATATAGCTCATTTCATTCTTCTTACTTAATGAGTAACAAAAGCAGGAAATTAAGCCATGACATAATTCAGTTTTTCCTTAATTGTCTGACTTGGGTTTGTGCAACCAAAATAAATTGAGATAAAAGGAAAATGTTAAGACTTTTATAAACAGTTTCCGATTTAGATACTCCTTTAAAATAATATTTAAAAGTGTATCTAAAATTCTTTGATGAAAATAGCACTGCCCATTGCCCATTTGAGAACACATACTTGTTAAATATGTTTTAATCATCTATGTTTAGTTAAAAAAAAGAAGAAGAAATGTTTAGTTCCACATTTTGTAACGGGTTTAACTCAAGAATATGGATTAAGGTAAGTATGGTTAGTATCGATTGTCAACTTGACGGGGTCTGGAGTCAGTTAGGAGACAAACCTCTGGGCATATATGTGAGGGAGTTTCTAGACTGGGTTGACTGAGGTAAGAAGATCCATCTTAAATGTGTGTGTCTTCATTTCATTAGCTGAATAAAACAGAGAGAATGAGCTAAGCGCTAGCATTCTTCCCTTTTTACTTCCTGACTGGGGAGGCAAAGTGACCAGCTGCCTCATGCTCTGGACCCCACTTCTTCTTTGCCATGATGGACTCTATTCTCAAAATGTGAATCAAAATAAATGAATGCTCCCTTTCTTTAGTTGGCTTTTATCCATCCTTTCTTCTTCTTTGACACAGTCTCACTTTGTAGCCCTGGTTGGCCTGTAAGGATGTAGACCAGATTGGGCTGGAATTTACAGAGAGCCACTTGCTGTTGTCTCCGTGGTGCTGAGGTTAAAGGTGTGTGTTACCAGATCTGGCCCTTTAGTTACTTTTTAGTGTTTTGTCACAACAAGAAGAAAAATAACTCAATGATAAACATCACATTTCAAGACTAGGAAGAAAAGTCTCATGACACTTCCCTAAACTAGTATAATTTCTAAATGTATCCTAATATTTATCTTGATACCCACAGCTAAGTATAGTTCTCAACCCTCATGAAAGGAATTTCTCTTGGCAGCTGATGGAGGCCATTACAAAGATCCACAACTGGCCAGAACACAGAGAATAAGTGGTCATGGGGTACCCAACCCAACTGCTACATCTACAACATAACCCTATACCTGAGGTTCAGGGGAAACCGGGCAGAGGGAGAAGAAAGATTGTAAGAGCCAAAGGACCAAAGATACCTGCTACAAGATAGTATCTTCCAGATGTGGCAGGGAAGCTGCGCCCATGCTCTCTCAACAATATGGTTGCCTCAACAAGACCGGCATAATGACACTACCAGTTGACATGCCAATGTAGATAGGGGAAATGTCACAAGTCCCCACTCCCAGATGAAGAGATACAGGCAATCAATGGCTTTGGAGAGAGGGAGAACCAGTTTTCTTCAGGGCCTAGTCACCTGATAGGTTCTCCAATCCCAAGCAATCAGCCCTACACACACGTAAATGTAAGCAATACTAAATAAACTCAGTAAGTTTTTCTATATGTATAAATATGTCATGTATGTGTATGCATGTCTTCATATGTATGTAAATACACGTAACAACAATAACTAAAGAAGAGGTTATGAATTGGAGTCGGAATGGAAGAAGGATGGGTAGAACTACTATAAATACAGTATTCCTGAAGGGCATTCACAAAAAATGAAAAATGAAAAAAAAGAACAAAAACTCCAGTTACCTTGTGAAGATGATGCAATTATAGTTGATAAAATAGTTCCTCAGAAATATGTGGGGGTTTTAAACATTTAAGTTTAGTCTTATTTATGGACTTTCTCTATTTGTGAGCTGAAGATTTACTTAGGGGAGAAAACAACAACAAACAAACGACTTGTGGCAAATACTTTTGTTGTTTGAAAAATGAGAATGTCTCCTGCCAAATGGAACCCTTTCAAAAACTCAATTAGCAGTCAGGCATGGCAGTGCACACTAGAGTCCACAGTACACTATAGCACACAGGAGACTGAGGCAGGAGGATCATGAGGTTAAGTTCAGCCTGGGCTACAGAGGCTCCATCTCAGGAAATAATACAGTTAGGGGCTATACCTCACATAGCATCCCTACCCTTTCTCATCTTGTCTTCTGACCCTCAGGAACACTGTGTGTCTGTCTACTCCTAGGACCACTGCTAATGCATGCTTTTGCAGGTGAGAGCTACTACCTTCCTGTCATTCTTCAGGCTTCTCCCTTTTCCTGGAAGAAGTCCTGGGAGATGTACACAAAGCCTTGCCCACCCTCACCTAGCTTGTTTATTAGCTAACAGGTTCATTTTGTGCCCCAGGAGGCCAGCTATTGAGAGAGGAAGGAGGAGGAGACTGGAGCTCGTTCAATGTCTCGGCACCATTCAGTATGAAGCAAGGTAAACTGGTGCCAGCAGGTTTGTGTTCCTTGTTATGTGCTTAGTCCGATTCTCAAAAACTTCATTACAATTTCAGATTTTAAGTATGCACGCTTCTGTTCCTTTCTGTTTCTATCATGTAATTTAAAAATAATTTTAAAGCACAACGTTCTAGATAAAACTCAAAGGGACAAGGATGAGAGTCTATGACGGATTGTTCACACTTATTAGAGCTAATTTATGTGATTGTCTGGTAGTTCTGTGTCTGTACTCCAAGTACTATGGAACTCTGTGGATAACGGGCTCTTGCTCCCTTCCTCTCTCCCCCGCCCTTCCCTTCTCTCTTCCCCAGGGGCTGTGTGACTCCAGATTTGGAAAGCAAACAGTAACTGCCAACATGAGGCAGAATGCTTAAAAAGAGCATGGATTTCCATTTCAGAGGGCCTGCCAGAGACCGATTTCTCAGGAAACAGAAAGAACACATTTGGACCTGTAAGATTAAAGGAGGCTTCAGGAGGATCAGTCTTCTGTGGATAGCCTTTCCCAGGCAGCACAAGAGCCCACCTGAATGATGAGAGACACATCACAAGGTCTGCCTGGCCTGACTTTCTTTGTTCATCTGTCAAATCTGGTAATTAAACTGGTCCAGCAAAAGACATGGTATTCATAATTAGAATGAGTCTGCAATTCCTATGCCTGATGAATTTTTTAGAACCACATTAAGTGAGTAACAGGAAACTTGAAGATTAAAGAAAAGAACCACACACGCTTCTTGAGGTAAAAGGGTAGCTGACAGAATCTGTTGTCTCTGAGGAAAGAAAAATAAAGAATTCACATCACATGATGGCGTTTTATTCTACTCTAAGAAAGCAATGGAAGACATGGGGGAAAAAAAAACTTTACCAAAACCTAAATGTCAAAATATGAGCATTTTGCCTTTATTTCAATCTAGAAATAAATAAATAAAATGTCAGAGTCCTGTTTTAAGTTGAACTTCTCTGTACATAGATGGATATGTACTGAGCTCTAAAAGTCTGTTCACAGAATATGACTGAATATTTTCTGTACAATGTGTAGGTGTTCAGTCAATTGCCACAGTTCATTTACTGTAAGATACTGATTCACATTCTAATATCTCTGAAAGATGGAGACAATCTAAAATGAACAGTATGTTCAATTAACAGCATGGTTTTCTTCACTGCACTTTAAATGACGGGACACTCTGTAATGGTGTCTTAGATTTGATGAAGCATTCCTTCAAATAATGAAGTAGTTAATGAGCTTCCCCCTTGCAGTCTAAAACCCAAACCTCTGTCTCTAGTCCCCAGGGCCTTCTAGATGTGTTAGCTCTTGAGCATTAGCTAAAGAGCTACCTGGAAAACACTAACCGATGCTTCCAAGAAGATCTCCTGCCGGAGACACAGGCGGCAAGCTCCATCAGGAGATGTGGGGAGACACGAAGGGCTGAAATAGCTTCTGGCTGACTTCAGGGTGGGTCTCTGCTTCACTCACTGAGCTTGGTCCTGTCAGTCTCGGCCCCTTCACAATGGAGTGGAGACTGTCGCTATGCTGCAAGCCATAGATGGGATTTTTTTTTCCCCAAAATGTTCAGATGCTCCAAATAGTACAAATGCATCCAAGGTTTGGTTGGAAAGAGGTATCTTATACTTTCAAAAGTACTAGAACCTTTCAGATTCATATAATAAAGACGTACTTTTGAACATATTTAGTTAACACCCAGACACCATAAGTTCTTCATCAAGTGCGTCAGAGAACTTAAGGGAACAAGGCAGATAATTAGTAGTATGGCATGCCAGCAGTGCAGTGTTTTATATTTTTAATTTTTATTTATTTTATTTGAAGTAGTGGGAAATGAATTCAGAATGTCTTACACACGAAGCAAGTACTCTACCACTGTGTTATATCCCCAGCCCCAATAATCTATTGTTTTTCAAGAGATAAATAAATATATATATATATATATATATATAAACAGGTATATAAATACACAAGCATAAAATTATTTAGATGCATAGAGGAAGCTTAGAAAGCTTATCAAACTTGTTACTTCTGCATTAAAATTATTGGAGTTTGTTTTTCATTGTCTCTGTTTCTAAATTTAGCCACAATAAACCTGTACAGTATCATATAATTGTATTATATAATTATAAAAGAGTAATAGGGTTTTTCTTTTTAAACAATTAAATAATGAGTATTATGAACTACAGCTGACATCTTTAAAGATGCATCTTCAAGGATGAGGTCATTTCATAATTTCTTCCTGAGAAGTTACAGCTGATGAAGAATGACTAATTCTTCCTCCACACTGACGGAGAAGGAGATGTCCACACATTTCTGTATTGACAGTAGATGTGTACATATATGCAATTTGCCTTCTCTAGCCAGGCCACAAAAGGGAGCAATTGACTTAAAAGCATAAGATTTTTAAATCTGGATTTTGTTCAAAATGCTGGAGCTAAAGAGTCTTTTATGGAAATGTTGCTTTTATACCTTAAAGCATAAGACCGTGTTAGTCCAGGTCTCCCCCTCGTTTTCTCTAAGTGCATTTGTTCCTAATTTAAAATATTGATAAGCACTATATGAATATAAGTGACATAGTAACTAGACGCACTTCTTTGTCCAGCACTACAACTTTAGGACACTGTGCTCCCTGGCCACATATTGGGTATAAAATTATATTGTTGCTTTGTATATTATTCAAACATAAAAGTAGATTCTTTGGGTTCTTTCTTTCCTCAAATGATGCTATTAGCATTTGTTGAAATACACCTCTGTGCTTTCTTATCTCAGGTGTATATAATCTCACTAGCTTTACAGGGAAGACAGGCTTCCTTAGGGTCTGAACTGGTACTTAAAGAGATATGCTCACTTTTAGTCTGGGTCAATAATATTACGTTATTGTTTAGAATGAGATAGCAGGCTATGTCTAAGAAATTTAATATCATCTTTCTGTCATCAAATAACAGCTAAATTATTGTATTGATAAACACCAGGGCTCATATCAAACTCTGCTTATGTCTAGGTTGCTCTATTTTTTTTCCCGGGGAAGAGCCCAGAAAAACATGCCAATCCTAGCATTTCAGGGACATTAGCGACCAATGTGCAGTCGGTTGCTCTTTACAAATTGTTCAGAAAACATCTCAGTGGGAGAATGAAAAGGACTCAAGGGAGAATTTATTGGCTATTTGTGAAACTGATAACAAAACCTCTCTAAGCCTCCCTGGTAAGTCAAGATAATTCCTTCCTTCCACCGTGGTTTCATCTGTTAAATAGGACGATGCAGTTAGAAAATAGTTTGTAAGCCCATGCTGGTGTCATCGTGATGGTTCAAACATGAACACTGAGCATGTGAAGTCCGGCCTCAGTAAACCCGGTGCTTTAGGTACGGAAGAGAAGGTTGCAAGGGAAACACACTGAACACCATTAACACTGGTGTTCCGAAGCCACTTTGTGTTTCCTTGTCTCGTGGTGCCATTCCCGTTCCTTCAAGGTGAAGGTTGGTTCTGCCTCCCAGCAAAGGAACTTCTCTTCAGTCAAGGTGGCAGACGCTGTTGATTCGGTCTTAATAAACAGGAAAAGATGTTGGCAATCTTTGGAGGGAGTTCAGGGAGGCTTTTTCAACCAGACATTTATATGGGCAGCAAAATATGATTCAAACAACTACCAAGAGTTAACAATATGCCCCCCCAAACACAGGCTTGTCTGACGAAATACACAACAGTCACCCCTGTATCCAAATACACACCAAATTCCCGTGAGCCCAGCAAGGGAGGGAGTAGAAGGCAGCTGTCTTGAACTATGCCACTCTCCCGGGCTGAAAAGCTCTGCCCCGTTTTCTAGAAGCAGAGATTCCACTGCCTTCCTTTTATTTTGTGGCAACAGAGACAGCAAAGGGATTTTTCTGAGCGGTTTGAGTGAAAAAGAAATGAGACCAGATATTGAGAAACTTGATGGGCATTCGCTGAAAAGCAACAAACATGATTCATAAGCCCCAAGGGACTGCCTTCCAGAGGAAGAGGAAAGTCTCTCAGCATGACCACCAGGGGCTAGCCATCAGGGCCCGGCTCATTGGCCACAGCCAAGGCGACTTGAAGGGTATAAACAGCATGGATGGCGAGAAGTCATTTAGTGTGGTCCAAGGGGACAAGAAGAGGAGCGACCGAAATGAAAGTCAAAATGTAGATGACTGAGGTGGCAGAGCAGGTCCCAGGCCGTCATGGAGAGCTCTGTTACTGTGTGGCACTACCCCCTGGGGAGAGCCAGAAACCCTTTGTCTTGCACTATTTACAATTGGAAAAGGCACTCAAAAGTAGCCAGGCATACCGGAGAGGGCAAAAACACTATGTACCCTCAGAGAATCACCGAGATGGCTTAATAGGTCTTTCCTATCTCAAATTACTGTGATGTAGCTGGTGCACACAGGGACAGACCTGAGTTGCTGGAATCATTTTTCCATCATCCGAGCTTGTTCATTGTTATTATAAAGAGGTGAAGAAATCATCACAGCTAATGGAAACAGAACCTGTGCTACAAATAGAAGCCTGCAGAGTGCTGATGCTTTCATGCAAGGATGGAACAGACCGGGATTCGTTTCACATTGTGAGGTCAGTGTACGAAAACTTGTCTACTGAGACCTGAGGCAACATGTTCATCTTGATCCATTCCCAAGAAAAGGACAAGGGTCTTTATCACATTTGGATGGTAGCTACAAAAATAAAAGTCCTGTAAGGCTCTCTAATCTAGAAAAAAGACTTACAGTCTATCTTTCAAAAATTACCTGGCCATTAAAAACAATGAAGAAGCAATTACTGTGTAGAAACTGAAGGACTCACGAGTTGAATGTGTGCACAGTACGGTTCTGTCTCCAGCTGCAGCTGTAACTAGCAACTGACACATCCTAAAACCTTTGGTGGCCCAGAAGGCCATACTTGGGTACAGGCTTGTGTGCACCTGGGAAGATGGCTGCAGCTGAAAGGAATGGGTATGGAATGGTCAGATAACAACTGAACTGGGAAGCCAAGCGCTAGTGTCCTTGTGATCGCTGGAAGGCACACAGCTGTGACCACCAGAGCCCCTCTCACCCAGGGAATGATGGAAGCAGGGGTGGGGGGAACAAAAACAGCAAGAGGGTAACAGGAGGAAAAGGCAGTGAGAAGCAAAGCGAAAGAAACCAGAGACCCGGGGAAGCCCACAGATGTCAGCCCCTCACAGGTGTGGGATATCTCACTTCCTGGTGATACTGCGGGAGGAACTAAAGCTAAACTTGGTGTTCTAGAAGACTGAAGCTTCTACAAACAAATTCGGGGGTTGACCTACATCTGTCCTCTGTAGGTCAACCCTCATCCTGCTGCTCTCAGCAGCTGTGGCCAATGAGAGACACAGCTGCCTGGTACACCGAGTTAAGCTGCTGCAGAAATCAACAGAAGCCATTTCCTGCCTCTTTGTTGTCTTCAGCAGTCTGGTCAGGACCAGTTTGAGTACTCGCTGAGCTGCTGGCTTGCTGGAGTTCCTGGAACATTGAGGAGAGGATTCTGCGGCTGGCATGCTTATTCCTATCTTATCTACCTGAAAGATCTGTGCCTGTTGTTAAAAGGAGGCTTAAGATGCAGCACCCCCTCACTACCCCACGTGCTATATTACAGATTCATAGAACCAGGGAGACTTTACCTATTGCTTACTTCAAAATGTGGTTGAAAGAAAGGGGAATCTACACAGAGACCTATTTCCAGAAAAGACACAGTAGGTATTTTTAGGTGGCTGATTTGAGATTCCTCAGAAGGTCCATGGTTAAGACAGAAAGAGAACTGGGGGACTGGGTTGGGGAATCAGGAAATTTAGGAGATGAAATCCAAAGCCAGCATCACTGGACCACACTAGGTTAATTAGTTGTTGGAGACCTCAGCTCAGCAGCACACGTTCCTACAGGGTAGCTGATTACTAGTCTGGCACTCCTC